CCCGCTTTCATTTTTATTATTTCCTTCTTTGTACTTTCCTTTGGATTACTTTCTTTTACTAGCTCTTTGAGTTGGAAATTTAATTTATACTGATGCTTTTATTTGGAAAAGTAAATATTTTTAAAATAAATGCTGTTTCAAATAAATTCCATACACATGTAGTGTTTTCATTATCATTATTTATTAGAAATTTATAATTTCATTTTGTGTATTACCTTTAATTCCCACCTACTGCATATGCGACATTCAGCACACTTTCCCACTTTCCTCTATCCCTTTCTCTTCTATTTTAGTGGCATTTTGACCTTATTGGGACATACAGGACTGTTTCAACATTAGGAAATCCACTATTATAATATATCATATTAACACATCTAAGGATAAGAAATAAAAAACCAAAGAAAATTCAAGAATATAGGATTGATGTATTTTAAAACCTTTTTATTTGGAACAAATTTTAGACTTACAAATTACAAAAATACCAGTTCCCATATACCTTTCACCCAGTTTTCTCTAATGTTAACATCTTAGAAAACCACAGTACAATGATCAAAACCGGGAAATTAATAATGACACAATACTATTAACTAAGCTATGAGTATAACCTTAATTAAATTAAATTTCACCAGTCTTTCCTCTACTGCACTTTTTCTGGTCCAAGATTCAACTGAGGTTTCCATGCTGCATTTAGTTGTCATGTAGCTTTGGTCTCCTCCAATCTGAGACAGATCCTGTCTATTCTTGTTTTCACAAACTTGGTGCTTTTGATGCGTATTCTTCAATTTTGGTTTGTCTGGTATTTTTTCATGTTTAGAGTGAGGTTATATCCTTTTTTGTTAGAATACCTCAGATGTTGTGATGTTGTGTCCTTTTTAGGGCACTGTATCAATGAGTCGTGATACTGATGTGTCTTGTTACTGGTGATGGATGTTCCCCTTGATTTTGGCCACTTGGTTAAAGGTCCTGTCTGCTGGTTTTCTCCACTGTAAAGTCACTGTATTTCCCTTTATAACTAATAAGTATCTTGGGAGAAATACTCTGAAATTATATATCCTATTTCTCTTCATATTTCCATCCACTAATTTTAGCACATGTGTGGACCTGTCTGCAACAGGCATTACTGCAGTGTTTACCAAATGATAATGTTGTATTTCCTTCTTTCATTTTAAATTCATTAATTAGAATTTAAATTCTAAGCAAAAACCATTCAGTCTCCCTGAAAGCATATTCAGTTATGTATATCATTATGGATTCATATCTTATCAGTTATACTATCATTGTTTATTTTGCTGTTAAAATTATTTCAGCTTTAAATTTTGAAAGTTTCTTTGGTTGGTTTTGTTCCTGCTTTAACCACTAATGTGACAAAGGTGACGTGGTGCCAGTTATAGGCCTCAGTCTTTTTATTTTTTTGAGACAGAGTCTCAAGCTATCACCCTGGGTAGAGTGCTGTGGTGTCACAGCTCACAACAACCTCCAACTCTTGGGCTCAAGTGATCTTCTTGCCTCAGTTTTTCTATTTTTAGTAGAGACAGGGTCTTGCTTTTTGCTCAGGCTAGTCTCAAACTTATGAACTCAAGCAATCCACCCACCTCAGCCTCCCAGAGTGCTAGGATTATAGGTGTGAGCCACTGCACCCAGCCAGGACTAAGTCTTAAGAGGTCTAGATAGCTTTCACTCTTAGGATCCCCAAGTTACCATGTAAGAAGTTCAACTACCCTGTTGGAGAGACCATGAAAAGAGACGGAGGCCCTGACACTGTATGGATATGATGACGCCTTTCAATAGGGTGACTCCAGCCTTCCACTCAACCCACTAAAGTGCTAAACATGTGAGGGAACCAACCCAAATGAGTCCCCAAATGACTGTAGCAACAGTAAAATCTATAACTCACCCAGAGCAAGAACTGCCCAGCTGATGCAGGGAAATCCAAAGAATTGTTAGAGATTATAATGTGGCTGTTCTTCTAAACCACTACGTTTTATGGCAGGGTTTATTGTGCAGCAGTTCATAACCAGAACCCTTCCAGACACACGGTGCCTTCCTCTTTAGCTTTCCTGATGACAAAGCATCTTTTGTATAATCCATGTACTTATTCAGTCCAGTGACCACTTTTCTCTGTTCCATAGCAAACAAATTATCAAGGCTGACTGATTCCATCTTTTTTGATTCCTCTCCACCCTTACACCAGCTGGGTGCTAGGGCAGTGGCAAGAGCCTCCCAACAGTCTCTGCAGACCATTTCCCAACACTCCAGTCTGCCTCAGACTTACTCCCAAATGTAGCTCTATATCCACAAATCCAGTGATTCCTTCATTCAGCAAATATTTATCAAGGTCCTACTGCATGGTAGGTACTACTGTAAACCTCGAGACACAAAAGTGAACAAAGACAAAAACACCTCACTGACATGGAAATCTAGAGGAAGAAGATGGACATATGAAACGAATAAATAAGACACACAGTATATCAGAAAGTGACAAGTGATATGCAGAGAAAAAAAGAAGGCAAGGAGAAAAGTAGGCTTTGGAATTTCAATAGTGTGGTTTGAGAAGGCCTCTCTGAGGTGACTGAAGGACATGGGGCAGTGAGCCAAGTGGACACCTTTGAAAAGAACATGTCTGGCAAGATGATAGCCAGGGCAAAGGCCCTGAGGTAAGTCAGGCTGGTGCACTCAAGGAACAGACAGTTCACTGGGACTGACTGGTGTGACACGACTGAGATAGAGTGGTGCAGAGGAAATCTAAGAATAAATGCAGGGAGATCAGACCTAGTTTTGTGGGACACTGGTTTTGACTTTGGTTAGGACAAGAAGCCTGAAAACATATGACACGACATGATTTACATTTTAAAAGATCCCTCCAGTTGCTGTACTGATTATCACACCTGTGTGGGACATGGGAAGAAGCAAAGGGACCAGTCGAAGGCTATGACCAACCACATGAGATAGTGGCCTAGACCATGGTGAAAACAGCAGGGGATGGAGAATTTTAGAGTACAGATCTGCTGTACAGATGGGGGGTAAGAGCAAGAATGGAATTAAGAATGACTCCAAGGTTTTGAGCCTGAGAAATCTGAAGGAGGGAAATGCCATGTCTCTGCTCCCTTTTAGAGCTAAACTCCTTGAAAGAATTGTCTATACTACATTGAGGCAGATCATGTTCCCAAGTGATCAGAGTTCAATGTTGGACACATTAGGTTTGGGACATACATCAGATATCCAAGTAAAAATGTGAAAGAGACAGTAGGAGCCTTGGATGTGGAGTTGAAGGCAGAGATCTAGGCTAAGCCTCAGACAGATGGTATTTAAAGACTTGGGAGTAGACAGGACCACGAAAGAGGTAGTATAACTGAAAGTGAGAGGTCTAACAACTGAACTGGGACCTTCCACAGTGGAAGTTTGGTAGAAGTGAAGGAGCCAGCAAAGGAAAGAGAGGAGAAGCAGCCTAGAAGGCAGGAGGAAAACCAGGAAGACCTGGAAACCAAAGAGCAATCATGACAAAGGATATATTAAGGAGGAATAAGCAACTATGTAAAATGTTGCTGAGAATTAACTACAGGCTTTAGTCACAGGGCGAACACTGTGACTTTAACAAGAATATTTTTTTTGGTGAGTAGATCCAAAAAGGCTTACTGAAATGATTAAAAGACGATGGAAAGATGGCAATGGATAGAGCAAGTACAGGTAATTCTTTCAAGGAATTAAGCTCTAAATGGGAGGAAAACAAGGCAAGGAGAAGAGACAGGAAGCTGGGGCAGTGCAGGAATGGAGACAGAGGGAAGGACCAGGAACCGAGGAATATGCACAGATGGAACTGAGAAGACACAACAGCCAATCAAATGGGAGGTATATTTGGAAACAACCAGATGCAAGGAAAATACAGAGGCCCAGTGTGATCAAGTTAAACAGCAGTTGATGCAGATTGGCAATGTCAGAAGAAATAATAGGAGTGAGTGGCAGAGACAGAGAAAGCCATCATGTTGTTTCCAGATATTTCTCCCTCTCCTTCCTCGGATCAGGGCTGTTCCAACTGAGGACAAAAGGTATTTTTTTAAACCATTGGGGAGAAGCTAGGCATGGTGGCTTACATCTGGAATCCCATTACTTTGGGAGGCCAGGGTGAGAGGACAGCTTGAGTTCAGGAGTTGGAGGTTGCAGTGAGCTATGATGATGTCACTGTACTCTAGCTCAAGCAGGAGAGTGAGACCCTGTCTTGAAATAACTAACTAACTAAATAAATAAAAATAAACAATTAGAGAAAATTGAATATTGGCTTGGATTTAAATGAGGTTTGTTATTAATTTTGTTAGGTATAAAAGTGAAATTGTGATTACATTAAAGCAAAGAGTCCTTATGTGTTAGAGATGACTCCTGAAGTATTCTCAGGTGAAATATGAAAACTCAGGTAGGGAAAAGAGAAAAGAAGAACAGAAGACACAAGAACAGAATGTTGACAACTTCACAGCACCTGCCAAGCCCGGGGAATGAGCAGTCTGAACAAACACTGAGACAAGGAAAGTAGGGGCAGGGATGTATGTACATAATGAATGGGAGCACTGGGCCAGAAAATATTCCCTGTGAAAACTGTCACCCTTAGAACAGGCTTGTTTTCTGAACCAGCTGGGGCTCTGGTCCCTGGATGGAACATTGTAGGACACAGATGTCCAAGTTGAGCAAAGGAAATCTGCTCATGGCTAGGAACATGAAAGGTAAGAGGCACTCACCTGAAGCTGGCCTGTCAGGAGCCCAGGACGCTTGCTTTCCCCAGCAGGCAGGCCTCTCTGGGCAGGCAGGGGCCACAGGAGGCAGAACAGGAACAAAAAAAATGTTCAGGACAGTCAATGGAAATACTCAAGCTCCAGCAGGGTAGTGCTGCTTCTTCCTTAATGGCATCAGGAATGGAACTGTCACAGAAGAAAAGTAGAGAAGAATAGTGGGCAGCTTCCTGGGAACCAGCCTGTCCTGACATGCTGTGGACACTCAGCATGAGTTGATCCTCTGTGTCTGTTATTAATAATGAAAGGTAATAATTACTGAGCATGTAGTACATTCTAGAGCCTATTGCAGCCACTGCATGGGTTTTACAATCCAATGAAATACAGGCTATTACCCTCATTTTACAGACCAGAAGATTAAGGCACAGTGAGGTCAGCCACGAGCTCGAGGTGAAACAGCTATAAAGTGAGGGAGCCTACAGGAAATTCTGCTGTAGAAACCATGCTCTTTTTTTTCTTTTTTTGAGACAGTCTTACTATGTTGCCCTCAGTAGAGTGTTGTAGCATCACAGCTCACAGCAACCTCAAATTTTTGGACTTAAGTGATTCTCTTGCCTGAGCCTCCCAAGTAGCTGGGACTACAGGCGCCCGCCACAACACCCAGCTATTTTTTGTTGCAGTTGTTCTTTAGCTGGCTCAGGCCGGGTTAGAACCTGGCACCATAACCACTGTGCTATGGGCGCCTAGTCAGAAAACCATGCTCTTAAACAACAAAACTGATGAACCTCTGGGTTGTAAGGATTTCCTCCTGCCCACTTTGAGATGAATCAAGACTGGTCAAGAGCTAATAAGTGTTAAATCTGGGTGATGTGGATTCGGTCTATGGAGTTCTATTTCTGGCGGTTTAAAATTTCTCTGCAATAAAAAAGTTTAAATGGAACATAAAATCCCAAAGCTTGGCCACACCAGCGGTATGGAAATCTGTGATTCTTGTGATCAATTACAGCTTTGGGACCTCTGAAAAATGTGCCCAGTGGGCCCCAGCCCGACCTACACCTCTAAGGTCTGAACCCAGGGGCAACTAGCCGCACTGAGACCCTAAGATCCCCTAAAATGAACACCCCACACCCGGTTCAACCCCTGCTTGTTTGGCCAAGTCAGCCGGTCCTTAACTCCCAAAAAGCAGGGTGTAGTTAGGCCCAAAGACCACCAGCTCCTAACCGACCAAACTCTGGGGACACAAGGTCCCTGGGACAGCCCCCTCCCCACACCACCAAGGAAATAAATATCCGACTGTCAAAAGTACCCCACTCCCCTAAATCCGGGTACGTGTAGCACGAGCGATCCCCTCTCCCAGTACCGCGACTTCAGCCAAAACCAAACCTGACCCAGGAACCCTAGGGCAGGAACCCCGAGCCCTGCACCCACCTTCACAACTGAGCTTCACTCAACTCTCCTGGAGATGTAAGCCCACACCCCCAAAATGAGACATCCAGGAGAACACGGCCTGAGCCCTGCCAGCGCGTCCCCCCAACCCTGTCCCCGCCCTATCCCCAGGGTCCCCAGGCTCAGCCTACAGACCAGCCAGTCTTCCATGGCCCTCCGCTTAGATAAGAGTATGACTGCTACAAGGATCTCCCGGGAGGCTCACGCACCAGCGCCACCAAAGAACAAGGGGTCGCTCCAGCCACCAGCTGAGGACCTCCTCCCGGGGAGCGGCGAGACTACACTATCCCGACCTCTCGGCGCGGCGCGGGGACCACACCTCCCAGGATGCTCGGCGCAACGGCGGCGCCCTGACCGCCCGCAGCTCTCGGGCCTTTGACAGATCCATTTCTGGGATCAGTGCCGTGCCACCTGGAGAACGACCACTGTGGCCCTTGGAGCCCCTCCTCCTTTAAAAACCACATGCATACAGCACGTAGAGACTCCGGGGAAGCTCACTGCTCTCTGACACTCTGAACGCCTTTGCCTCCGAGGCTGCAAAGACTACACTTCCCAGTCACCCCTGCGCTCACTTCCGCAGCCGGTGCCGGCCGCCCCTTGGCGCGCAGAAATGACGTGCCCAGGCGCTTTTTTTTCAGGGCTGAGGACCGCGGGCGTTAGTGACCTGGGGCCCGAACTTCTCTACTGACTGGTCAGTGTCGGCGGCCACGGGGATCCCCGGCTTTAGGTTTGGGGTGGAAATTTGTACCCTGTGTTCCGTAGCATGGTCCAGGACATATGTTCTTCAAATTCCAAGGCCATGGGGCAGCCCGCAGTCTACCCAAGGACTCACATCCAGTACGAAGTAGCGCCGGATTCTGATCCTGCGCGCAGCCCGAACACCCGCGGGTGCCCTGAAATCCTTTTTCGTTTAATTGAAGTCCACGAAGTTATGGAAAAATTATCACTCATGCCCTGGGGGAAGGAAGCCTCAATCCTAGATCACTTAGGGCCCAGCCCGCTATCGGCCTGAATTTTTGGGTCTTTGTTCGGGGTCGTGGTTGAAACAAGGCTGCTCTGGTGCCATCTGGGATGCCCCAGCTAGGGAGCTGGAGAGGAAGCCCCACTTCACTGCGAGAGGGCTTGTTCACCCTCTCATTTCTCATCACCTTCCTCGGATAGGCTTTATGAACCTTCATCTTGCTGTGGAAGACCACGTGGCTGGGAGAGCTAGGGAAATTTGAGAATTTCCTAAAATTCCTTCTTGGCTCCTGGAGGACCAATCCGTTCCATTTTCTTGCCCGTAGGTTGCATTACTTTATCTTGAATTCAATTCAGCCTTGACCCAGGAGAACTGTTCAGTCTTACTTTAATCTATCCTTCCATATCCCTCTCTGCCCCACTCTTGGTAACATTGTCTCCAAGGAATAGCTGTTAATACACGTGGACGTTAAAAGGAACAAGGCATAGTCGTCCATGTATAAGTGTCCGCTGATGCTGACTCAAGGGTAAGGGGGGGCACGAATGGTTGAGATCTCATGGGCCTGGTGATAAGAAACCAGGAAGACTTTAAGGATGGGGGGCCACCTGAGCTGCCTAAGGAAGAAGTGCAGATGAGGAGTTGGAGAAGCACTTGTCAGTGGGAAGAGAACAGGAAGTGAGGTCAGAATCTCAGGGTCTGAGCCATTGGGCAGACTGTCATGACTACAGCCAGAGACGAAGTAGCAAATGGTTTTACAGTAGGCTGATTTTCCACTTACATAGGTAAGGATGCAGAGTGAATTGCTCCCATGTGGCATACCAGTGTTTAGTATGGCAAGCCTCTTGTTTAATATGTGAAAGACTACCCAGCATTTAATAATTAGGAGTTTCCATCCAGAAATACGGGTTGCCTGCTTTCTGCAAATGTTCATTGGTGCTTTCTCCATCTCCTCTTTCCCTTTTGGAACTTCCCACCCACTCCAGACCACCCCATCTCATACCTCATCTGGAATACCTTGACTGTTTTCCTTTCCTTAGCTCTTAAATCCTGCCTTGTATTTGTCCTTGAAGACCAAATACCCAGCTGGCTCTTTTTCATGACGCCACCTTTGATCACTATTGTATGATGACTTGTGATTCCTCTGACCCCAGCTGTACCTGGGAGCTTTTGAAAATACAATACCTGGATACTACCCCAAGAAACTGAGTTCAGAGTGGAGCCCTGGCATCCATTCATAACAAAGCTGCTTTCATCCTAGGAAGGGAAAGTGTCATGTAATAATAGAAAGGACAGATACACACACTATTTTGAAAAATCAGAAGTTTAGTCATTGGTTTCTTGTTATTACTACTTAACCACATACCTGGGTCAGTAATTTAACCCAGTGTTTCTCAAACATGTGCATATGCTCGTATATCACCTGGGATTTTGTAAACATGCAGATTCTGAATCATGAATGCAAATTCTGAATTAGCACGTTTGCATGGAGCCCAAGCACCAGCATTCTAATGAACTTTGAGACAATGCTGGTGCTGCTTGTCCTCTGACTACACTGCATAGCAAGAATTAAACCCAACCAGGGGCTCAGATCCTTAATCCTATCATAAACAGCTAGATTAAGATTTCTCCAAGTTTATAAACCTCAGACAATAATTTTATATATTTTAATGTGTCATTTAATTTAAAGTACTTCAAGGTTTGAAACTTTTTTCTTCTAAACCCATCGTAGCCAGACTAAAATCTAGACAGTAGACAAGTGATGCTGGTTGAATATGGGCCAGGGTTATGGTCTTAGAAACTAAGCACCAGGGTTACAGTCAAAAACAAAGTCTAGATATTTTACCTATCTTCCCCAAGACAGCCTTCTTGCTCCCTCACTTTGAACATGAGCAGAAAAGTGGTTCACTCTGTGCCATGGGGAGGCAACAGAGTGAATAGGACTGTGGTTGGTATGATGGACTCCCATGATATTCAGGCTGTGGATTTCATCTACATTTGGAGGCTGTGGAATCTTTCTCAGAGGACCTGTCCAGGAAGGCAGTACTGGAGAACTACAGCAGTCTGATCTCACTGGATGATGATGGCTTCTCTGACAACTTAAAATCTGACCCACCGAGCAGCCTAAACCCTTCATGCAAAAAAGCCAGTCAATAGAGTAGGTTCCAAGTGACTTTTTGCCTTAGAGTTAGACTTGCAAACAAAGACTTGTTTTTTCATGTTGCCCCAGTTTGGTTTTTTTTTTTCTTTTGTACATTTGAGAGCAGATAGGGATGTGTCTATGTGTGTACTGCACTTCAAGTCTTTCTCTCCAGACTAAATTATCTTCTCAGGTAATCTAGATTCAAATGAGATTTTTGTCCACCCAGCAAGGAGTAGAATCAGTGTCTGTCTTGCTCAGCTGAGGCTCCCTTCTCTTACCATTCACCTTTCCAGTGCTCAGAGGTCTCCCTCCCTCTCTCTTTTTTTTTGAGACAGAGCCTCAGGCTGTTGTCCTGGGTAGAGTGCAATGGCATCACGGCTCACAGCAGCCTCCAACTCCTGTGCTTAAGTGATTCTCTTGCCTCAGCCTCCCAAGTAGCTGGGACTACAGGAGCATGCCACAACGTCCGGCTATTTTGGGGTTATAGTTGTCATTGTTGTTTGGCAGGCCTGGGCTAGATTAGAACCTGCCAGCTCTGGTGTATGTAGCTAGCGCCTTAGCCGCTTGAGCTACAGGCCGCTCAGAGGTTTCTTATGCTACACAACTCTTCTTCACTATCCAGCTTAGCTCCGAGTTCTGAAATAGTATCTTGAGCCTATAACCTACAGTCACCTTCCTGTCTTTCCCTATGAGCAGAAATCCCACTTTCCAGACCAAAACTCCTCACCCAGCTGGAGATATCCAGGAGGAGCCACACCATCTGCGGGTCCTGCGCAGGTGAGGGCAGCTCAGTGCAGATGACACAGCACTCAGCAGCTCCAGAAGGGGGAGGCAGTGAGGTGTGAGGAGGAAGCTGCTCTCCTGGCTTCTAGGCTGCTGTTGAAGACTGTTTGGCTCTGTGTCTTCATCTGCTCAGGCTGCCATAAGGAAGTACTATAGAATTTTAAATAATAGAAACTTTTTTCCTCCCATTTCTTGAGGCTGGAAGTTTGAAATCAGCATGACTGGGTTCTGGTGAGGGTCCTCTTCCAGATGGCTGTCTTCTTGCTGTGTCCTCACATGGTGAAGGGAGAGGTGCCAAGTTTCTGGGGTGCCTCTTAGAAGGACGGTATTCCATGTCATGATGAGGGGCCTAGGCTCGTAATCTCATCTAAACTTAATTACCTCCAGGAAGCCCCATCTTCAGTTACCATCGTATTGGGGGTTAGGTTTCTATATATGAAAGTTAGGGCACTGCAATTCAGTTCATAATACTTTTCCTCCCTTCCAGGATTTCATCTTTACCTAAGAGAGTACGGGCATACCTTGTCTCCTCCACCGACAAACTGCCCTCTTCTCACTGGGCTTACTTTCTCTATCTTACACAGTCTGTCTCTGTTCATGTGCTTCTTTCTGTCTGTTTGATTTCAAATGAACACTAACCCTATGCGCCCGAAGTTGCTCAAGAAACTGTGTGTTGAATGTTAGAGGCATCTGATCAATACTTTTTTTCTGTCCCACCTGTGTTCTTGCATTCTGATGGAACAGGTTTGGTGTAGTACAATTGATCCGGGGCCAGTTACTTGCCTTCTCATAGTTGTTCAAGATCATGGTTTTTCCCATCTGTCAAATATAAAAGAGCAAAACTTCACTATTGTGATCTGTCAGGAGATAAGACATCCCATGTTCTAGGTGTAGTCATGGCTTTAACCCCAGCTTAGCTTTAAAGAGTCTGTTGTATTATGAGGAAATTAGGAGAAGAAAAAGAGAAATATTTATTTTTACTATTTCTAATGCTCTTTATCGCTTTCTGTAGACAAGAATTTCCTTTCAGTATTAATTTCCTCTTGCTTTCAGAACAGCTTTTTGTATTTTTTTATAGTGCAAGTTTGATAGCAATGAATTCTGTGTTGGTTTATCTGGAAATGTGTTTATTTTGC